TGTTACAGTGATGTCGCACTGATACATCTCGCCATCTATTTTTTCACTTATTTTATTTTATTTTTATTTCGTATTTCGTTTTTTCATTTCTTTCTCGGTGATATATCTAGTCTTCTCTTTTGTTATCCATATATCTAGTCTCTGTTCTCTTCTCTTTTCTTTTTTTTCTCTCTTCTTTCCTTGCTCACTATATATGTACGTGTTTTCCATCATTTAAAACAGATTATAAGATTATACGAAAATAAAAGATCGTGTGTAAGTGTACGTATACACACACACATATTACGTAATTCTTTTAAAGCGAAAAGAACGAACTTAGCGTTATCCATAAGGACAAAACGCTAACAATTGGCGACCCTGGACAAAAAACACACGAATATTTACAACAACAACAATTTATTTTAAAATTTTATTTTAATTATAAAATTATCCAAACAAATAAGAGCCTCTAATTTTAAAAAAAAAGAGACTCGAAAATTGAATATATAAGAGCCTCTAATTTTAAAAAAGAGACTCGAGAATTGATTATATAAGAGTTTCAACATATAGACTCGGGTGAATAAATTTTTTTATTATTAAATATTAACTCAACTAGTAGGGATACTTTTCAGTAAACCGTTTTTATATTTTTAAACATAAAATTGGAGTACAAGTTTCAGGAAAAATTTTTTATTATATATTCAAGCACATATAAAAAAAAGAAGGCAAACCAATAATGAACATAAGCAGAAATTCTAACATAGAATTTCGTACTTTTATTTTATACAAATAAATTATAATTAGAAACTTTACAAAAAAAAAAAAAACAAAAACAATATTGTTCATTCGTCTTCCATTATATATGCACCAATACAATCAGAAATTCTAAAAAAAAAAAAAAGAAAAAAAAGAAATTTGTTTATTCTTCAATTACATACACCAATATATTCAGAAATTCTATGAAAAAAGAATTTCGATCATTGTTCTTCAATTGCATAAATCAATCTAAATAGAAAATCAAAACAAAAAACGCACACAAACAAAAAAAAAAAAAAAAAAAGAAGAATGTTGTTTACTTTTTATTCAATTCTTCGTTGTCGATAACTTGATTCATTTTTATTCAATCATTGAATTATTTGCTATTACATCTATTTATTCTTATATATCATAATTTCATAACGGCTTCTGGAACAAGGCTTCAAATCAAGAAAAATAATAGCAAATTATTTCCGTATACCATTCTTACACATCCAAAATCTCATACACGTTCGTGGACTAATTCAACTGAATCTGAATCGTCAGAAATTGATATAGTCAACATGGCTGATCAAACATTATTAGCAAAAGCTCGCAAAACGCGATTTGATGATCTACCAAATTTTTCTGGACATCCTTCTGAGGATGTCGAACGTTTTTTAAAAAGTATCAAGAATATAACCAAAGCAACTGATGAATCAACTAATCATGAAATTCTGGAAATAGTACGTGGCAAATTAACTCAATCAGCAGGATTATGGTTCGATAATAACGAACATAATTTCAAAAAATGGTCAGATTTCGAAACGGCATTTCGAAATCGATATTTTTCTTCAACATCAATACACAAAAAATTTGATACATTAAAACAACGAAAACAGTTACCAGATGAACCAATTACGTCTTACTGCGATGATATTATTAATTTATGCAAGGAAATTGATTCCAATATGTCGGAAAAAATTATCATTCAATATTTAATGAGTGGAATCAATCCTGATTTTAGGAAAGAATTATCAAGACGTGAATCATCTATTAATACATTAAATGAATTTTTAAAACATGCAAAAATCGAACAAGATTTACATGATACATTTCGTAATTTATCGATTGATTCACCACAACTTAATTTCAATTTTAATCGTCCACCAATTCCATCATTAACTGCCACAGTAAATCCACAAAAACAATATCATTATCAAATAAAATATAACAATCCAATTTCACATTCAACACAATTTCAGAGCTCCGTTTCTCGACGGAACTCGGATCCAGCATTTGGGAATCGAACATCAACAACACCTAATACAAAACAAATTCGGAATTTTTCATCACAATC